CACAGAGATCCGCCTGGCTCTGCCTCCCGAGTGCTGGGATTAAAGGCGTGCGCCACCACTGCCCGGCTTATCTTTTAATAATACCTTTTGCTGTTAAGTTGTAGAGTGTCCAGGGACCAGTGTTTGGGTTCAGCCCCAACCTATCAAAGGGTCCCTTGAAGGAGGAAGTGAGGAACTGGGAAATGCTAGATAGGAAATAGAGAAGTAGACAAAGAAAAAAGACAGAGACACAGGATAGATTTGGGAGGGCCCTGGGTCAATACCCAACAGCCTCAGGTTTATTTCTAATAGGATTTTTATACACTAATAAGGGGAGAGGCAAAAGACCTTCCCTTTACAAGGTCAAGGTATAAAGTACCAACAAGTGTAGACCCTTCAAAACACCTGTTAACCATGCCTTTGGCCAAATCGTCCTATTACGCAGCCCTGCTGAATAAAGCAAGGTCAGACTTTCTAACTTGGAGTAAGGCTTACTAGGGAGCCTCTGTGGGCCCCCACAGTGGGGATTCCTTATACATTTTGGACATTAACTTCCGTCCTTGTCTGTTTTTCAACAATAAAGTACACAAGACTAGGCAGTTTACAAGGAAGCGGAACCGAGGGCTTGGGAGATAGCTTAATCAGTGAAGCCCATGTTTCAGGAGGATGAGGATCCACATTTAATACTTAGAACCCAAGTAAAGCAAAAGCTGGGCAGGGTGGCACACACCGCTACAGTCCACAGGCTGGGAGGGTGGAGATAAGCCGGTCCCTGGGGCTCCCTGGCCAGCCTAGTCCACCTAGCACGTTCCACACTGCTGGAAGCTGAGAATCCATATCAACGTGGGAGCGTCTAGTGAGGGCTTCTTGCCATACTCTCACATGCTAGAAGCTGGAAGGGCAAACAAACAAACAAACAAACAAATAAATAAATAAACAAGCAAACAAAAACCAAACACACACAGTGTTCTCACTAGGCGAATGCTGTCATTTGAAGCCTCTTTCATCAAAAAGGAGGAGTC